GTGGAGGGAAGCAGGTGGGTCCCCAAGAGCAGTATTGCATTTTGAGTTACTCCTGTTGTCATGCAAAGTATTTTGGCCTTAAAAGAGAATCTGAAGGATTGTGCTCCTTCCTTAGGACCTTGTTTCCAATGACTATCAGCACTACTATTCTGCAGAACTCTGAGAGATAAGTGATAATGAGGTTTTCAAGGTTTACTATTGTTTGTGCAGAGAGGAAGTCAGAAAATTCAGAAAATAATCAAGCAGAGGCTGCAAAGAGTGGAAGTTCTGCTGCCCCTTGAGGGCCAACTCCTGTTTCATTGCATTCTTGCTGCGGAGGTTCCACCAGGGCTGTTTCTGGCCCCTGTGGTGCTAATTGCCTCCGTGGAATTGCAGGGAGAGATCGCCTGAGAAATAGCATTAACGTCTTTAATTTCTAAACTGCCCAGCAGCCAAAGCTCTTCCCTATTTTCATCAGATTTGGGAAAGAAAGTGTCGAATGGCTAGCTCCCACATCGGCTTGCCTGGGCACTTGGGCCATCTATGGAAGCTTGGCCACTTTGCCATCCAAAGCAGAGTTGGAGGTGACCAGAGAGAGAGCCTTCCCAGGGATGGCACCTTGCTTGAGGGGCTGAGGGGACTGGCTGGGGGATGCTGGGAGCAGCATAACTTTTTCCTGTCTCAACATTCATGAGGTCGCACCCTTAATCAACTAAACTTTGCAAGAATAGGATAAATCTAGCATTCTAGTCACTGAATATTAGCCACCATTGGATAAGAACTTCGAAATAGAAAAAAGATGCAGGGAAATTAGAAAAAGTAGGTATTCTATTATTTATATCCCACATTTTTATTTTTTTTAAGAAGCCAAAGCAGTTTACATCAGTCTCTTCCTCCCGGTCTCAACCTTATCTCTACAACAAGAATCCTGTGAGGCAGGTTTGTCTGAGATTCTGTGACTGGCCCAAAGTCACCCAGTTCCCTCAATGGCCAAGTGGTGACTAGTACCTGAGTTCCAGGTGTGCGCTCTCAATCACTACACCACACTGGCTCTCTATGTTCTCTGTATTCTATACTCCTTGAAGTCCCCCTTTTCCTGCCCCATATATGTGATGAACAGCCAGAATCCATCATTTCCCAGGTTACCGATGGTACCCTTAATGGGCTGGAAGAATGATTCCCGGCCTGGGCTACACATACCCACAGGGCTATGAACCAGGACATTTGGGGGAATATAAGAAAAAGTGAATAATGGCAGAAAACTCTTTTGAGTTTTCAATGCAAATATATGCACTGTCTGTTCACCTTAATATTCCCTTGCCTTTTAATCTCATTATTTAGCCATTTATAGTTACAACATATAAATTTGAAACATCAGCACTATATTAATAACAAACATTTTGCTAATGTGAAGGGTACAATTAACAGAAATCAGCTGCCAAGTGAAATGAAAAAAGCTTGGGAACCACAGGCTTAAAAGACAAGCAAGTCTTGGGTCTGGTTTCTTGCAAAATAGGATTGGGGCATCAGGCAAGTTGTATTAGAAGCCAATGTATGAAACAATAGTGAAGGTAACTCCTATATAGCCTAAAGTGCCCAGTCCTGCCTAATCTTGGCTGCTAAGCTGGGTTGGGCCTGGTTGAAACCTGGATGGGTGACTTAAAATATTGGGAGAGAGATTTGGCTAGAGGCAGTATAGAAATGCAATGTAATAATAACAGTAAAACCATGACAAATGGCTTCTGTCCTTGCCATTTACTTGCTTTAATGTTTGTCTTAATATTACGCATATTAAAGTTAACTGTACCTCTATCATTGCAGTTTTTCCCACCTTGTTAAACTACTATTCGAATGTGGTATAGTTACCTTCTGGTTCCCCTCCTCATGCATGCACCTATTCCATTCATTCATGGGGTTGAGCAGAAGGCAATGCTGGGCCTAGGGTGGTCTTCTAGGACATTTTCTGATGCTCCAATCAGCAAGTACGACAGCAAAGTTAAAATTGATATCCAAAAAATGCACTACTTGGAGGCCTATTTTAAAGATAACCTTATAATATGTTCATATCAGCAGCAGCAGCAGCAGCATTGATTTATACCCTTCTTTTTTCCTGAGGAACCCAAGGCAGTTTACATAGCCCCATTTTATCTTTACACCAAAACAACCCTTTGAGGTAGGTTAGGCCAAGAGAGAGGGAATGGGCCAGTGACCCAGTGAGCTGATGGGGGACTAGCAGCTGGATCCCCTGAATCTCCAGTCCAATACTCTAATCACAACACAATCACCATAAAATATTATGGGTAAAATGTTATTTCTGCTATTTTATTTTATTTTATATTTCTAGACCACCCAATAGCTGAAGCTCTCTGGACAGTTTACAACATTCATAAAACACAATAAAATATAATAAATATACAAATAACAATTAAAACATGGTAAACATGCACTACAGGAGTTTAAAAATATGAATGTAAACAATTCAAATAACTCAGATAAGTGAATGCAACTAGGCCTATCAAAAACAGCTAACATCACCACCCTCCACATGTAGGTTAGTGCTGTTAAATGCCTTGGCACAGAAGACAGTCTTATCCTAGTACCAAAAGGATGGCGGGGATGGCATCAGATGGGCTTCAATGGGAAGACTGTTCCATAATTGGGGGTTCCAACAGAGAAGGCCCTGCGAAGGTACGTGACGAAGAAAGGGTAGAAAATAACCGCATGGTAAGGAAGTAGAGGTTGGGGAGACTAAAAGAAAATGTATGCTAGATATTTTAAATAAAGGGTGATACAGATGCACTGACAGTGCAAAGCTAGAATTTAGACATTAGTAATCATTAAGGATTACAATTATTAAAATTAAAGCATTCTAAGAACCCTCTGGATAGACCATCCCATTTAGGAATTTGATTTTTTTTGTCTACTTAAGGTTGGAAATACGTTTATTGAAATAATTATTTTAGCTATTATTTCTTAAAACACTTACTGATTTGTTACAGTATTTTATCCTGTTCCACATCCAAATAGATTCTGGAGCAGTGAACAAGAGAAAGTTTAAACAAATAGAAAGAATAAAAAATACACTAAAAACAGAATTATATGAAAGCCACAACCATTCTGCATAGAAGGCTTCCCAGAACAAGGATGTCTTCACTGGTCCAGAAAACAGCACCCTGTTGGTGCCTGCCTGAACTTCACTGGGAATTCCACAAAAATGAGGCCACCAGACTGGTAGGCTCCAGTCAGGACGTGGTTCCATGTAGGACCAGCAGGAGAATGTCCTCCTTGGTAAGGAACTTTAATCATTTTTGCATTTCTGGCAATGCGGCGCATTCCTACAGATCCTTTGCAGGAACCACAACAAAGAACATTAGCTAGAGCACAAAGAAGTAGTACAAAGAGCATGGTTCTCATTGTCATGAGAAGAGAATCCTATTTTGTTTCTTTCAGAATAAATGTGCCACAGGTTCACTTAGTTTTGCTGTAATAAGCTAACATAACTACCAGTTGCTGGGGAACATGGATAGGAGGCTGCTGTTGCTTTCCTCCCTTGCTGTTGATCGTTTCTCCAACCATGGGCAGCTGGTTGGCCATTGTATAAACAGAAGGCTGGACTAGATGGATCCTTGCACCGGGGCTCTCCTTGTGCGCTTAGAGACAGGCTGTTGTGTGGTTAGAGGTTATAATACGTAGAAGGTCATGTGACATGAGCCAGAGATGCCATAATTTCAATGGCAAAATGGTGGAAGGTGTGCAGGCCAAAGCACATGAAATAGATGCAGAGTCATTAGGTGTGAGCAGCCATGTCAGAAGATGTTGGGTACTTATTCTGTGCTAGTTGGATCCCACCTGGAGTACTGTGTCCAATTCTGGACACACTTCAAGAAAGATGCGGACAAGCTGGAAAGTTTCAGAGGAGGGGAACAAAGATGATCCAAAATCTAGAAACAAAGCCCCATGAGAAGAGACTGAGAGAGCGGGACATATTCAGCCTTTTGTGGGGAGATAAAGCACTTTTAAATAACTTTTCAAATACTTTAAAGGCTGTCACACAGAAGAGGACAAGGATCTTTTCTTGGTCATCCCAGAGTTCAGGACATAGAATAAGGACATGGGCTTAAGTTACAGGAAGCCAGATTCTGCCTGGACATCAGGAAACACTTCCTGTTAGAGCAGTAGAGCAATGGAACCAATGACCTAGGGATTTGGTGGTCCCCCACACTTGGAGGAGTTCAAGATGCAACTGGACAACCATCTGATGGGGATGGTTTAACTTGGAGTCCTACACTGAGCAGGGGGTTGGACCCTATGGTGAGCGGTCCCTTAAAATTTTAGTAGTTTGTAACTTTCACATGGGATAAATAGACTTCAAGTCTGGTTAGCTGTTTAGATGCTTCTATCTATTTAGATGCTTTTAGATATTTATGCTTGTGTTAGTTTATTTAAATTGTGGGGCTTTCTTTGATATCTATGTGCAATGGACATAAGATGACGCCATGCTTGCTTCATGCAGTTTTTCTATTTTCAGAAAAATAACTAAGCCATATGGGGAGCTAAGAAGAAAAGTGGCCAAGAGGAGTGAATGTGGAGGGCAGCCATTGCGTGAAAAGCGGCCCTGAACACGTCGTGTGAGAACCTCAGGGTCTTGGGGGATTTCAGCATCCATGTGGCTTGACTATGTGGCACCGCTCCTGTTCTCTGCTGCTTCTCAGCCACTGTCCTTTGCTTGCCCCCGCCCACCCCAAATGTGCCTTAACTCGCTCATCCCATCTGCTGGCTTTGCTCTCCCTCCAGAAAGAGCCGCCTGGCCCTTTAAGAGGGCGCCATTCCGGGACCCGTCCTAACACATTCCTACCCTGGAGAGGCGGCTTCTCCAACGCGCCTGCGCGGAGGGGAGGGGACAAGGAGGAGAAAAGGGCAGGGCGTCAGGAAAGTAGGTGTGCGCCTGCGCTTAGCGCAAGCGCGCTGGCACTCTCCCCGCCCCTTGCTGCTTGGGCAGGTCTTTGCAGCTTTAAGAGGGTCGCGCGGCCTGGAGGGCCCCTTCCGACCGTCGCCTCAGTTGTGGTCCTGTTTGGGTGTTGTTGTTATTTTTTTTCCTGGGTGCGCCCGCTCGAATTCCTGAGGGAGGCGCTTTCCCCAACCCACGCCCCGCCTCGCTCTGCCTCTCAGGGCTGCTGGACACCCCTTGGAGCGCTCCTTGAGGTTACAACTCCCATCTCCCCCCACCTCAGCCAGGGCCGAGGAAGAGGAGACCCTCCCCTCCCCCTCCTCTGAGGCGGCGGCCCCCAATATGGCGGCGGCCAAGGAGGAGGGGCCAGGACCGCGCGCCAGAGTAAGTAAGTGGGCGGGGCCAAAGGGGTGGGCGGGGCCAGGGGGTTCAGGGAAGGCTCCCCCTTGCAGAGCAAGGCGTTGGGGAGAGCTGGAGAGATGGTGGGTAACATATCTGGGAGTGGCTTGGGTTAGGTAGTGGGCAGGGGGTCTGTGATCTGGGGGTAATGGAACATTGGGGGGCTAAGGCTTGTAATTTAAGAGATCTGAAGTGGGGTAGAGGTGCTTTATGGTGGGGTAGGTGCTTTATGGTGCTTTATGGTACTGTAAAATCTTGGCGACCTGGATGACATATTGATGGGCATCAGGAATAGTAGGTTGTTGTTGTGAGGATATTTTAAAATAGCTTTCTTTTGGAAATTGCTGGTGTTCTGAATGTTCAGGAATTGGTGAGAATGGGAGTGGATTCTGAAATACAGAGTTGGAAAGAGTTTGGAAAGAAGGGATGTGAAAGGGTGGTGTTTGAGAAGAGCTGCTCTGAGGTTCCTTAAATGTGGAAGTGTAGCAAGGAGCATGATGGTGGATTTGACATCTGGGGGTGAAAAAGAGAAATTAAGGTTGCATAGTTAAAAGATGATAGACTTCTGGGAATGGGATGTGTGAATGTGGAGTGGCAAAAAGAAAATAATTAAAGTAGTTAGATCAAGAGGCTGGAACATCTGTTGTGTGTGTGGAAGAAGTTGGATATGAAGCTAATGGTGGTTAAGGAAGACTATGCTATGAAGACTATGAATGGCAAGTTAAATGTTGTCCTGATGGTGGTTATTTTGTCCTAATGCTTAATTTTCATAAGTCCTTGCTGTTAACCACCAGCACTGAATAATTGTGGTCATCAATATCAAGATCTTACCTATCATAAGACTTAATTTTGTATATTACCACATGTACATTTTTCACAGAAAAAATGGTGTCGGAATATCAATAACCTACAGAAGCTGTTAAAACTGTGCATTAAGAACAAAATTGATCACTGTTATTTTCACATCTTTCCTTTTGGACCCATAAAGGACTAAAGCTTTGGGAGCAGGCCTACAAGACCTGGCACACCAAACTGAATGCAAACTATGATCCATGAATTGGTGTGACTTGTGCGTTGGCTGCCAACCGTACTTTTTCCAGGTCAAATAAAAAGAAAAATCAGGGTGCTAATCAAGCTTTTGAAGGTCTGCAATCAGTTTGATGGGTCCAGCTTTAACATTTGGCCCAGCTGGTTGTGGGGTGCTAAAGAGCATTAAGTGGACCATTCCTAAACATTAGCTAAACATTATGCATTTAAATACTTTCTAGGGTCCAATGGCTAACTATTCAATGGTGGCTCATAGGAATTTGATTATTTTTCTTGTTCTGGCCTTAGAATGATTTGCCCCAGTTGCAAATTCTGAAGTCACTCAAAATATCCCAAGATGAGTGTCTCTGGAATAATCAGACATAAGTTGAAGTTCAGTCTTGAGAAACTGCTTTAGTAGAGGATGAGGGAAAATAAATAATAAATTCTGTATTAGGAATCACAGATTATGACTCCAGCAAAGTGGTTGTCCATAGGAAACTTGCTCATAGTTGGGAACCTTCATATTTCTGATAATCCAGAACCATTTGCTTTATTGAAGACTCACCACTAGCGAGTCTAGAGCAGCACTTATTTGCTATGCGCAGTCCCAAGGTTTTTATCATAGAATAGTAGAGCTGTAAGGGGCCAAGAAGGCCATTGGGTCCAACCCCCTGCTGTCACCAATTTACACCCTCCCACTTTTTGTTTCCCTCCTCTGGATCCTTTGTAATTTTTCTGCATCTTTCTTAAATCTTGGTGCCCAGAACTGGACACAGTATTCCGGATGAAGTCTGACTAGTGAGGAGTATAAGGGAACTATTACTTCTTGTGATTTGGAAGTAACGCTTTCTATTAATGAATTGTGAAAGAGCATTTGTCTTTTTTTCCCAGCTGCATTGCGTGGTTGGCTCATATTTAACCTGTTGTCCACAGTTACTCCGAGGTCTTTTTCTTCTTCAGTTCTGTTGAGCCACATATTCTCTATCTTATATTGATGCATTTGGTTTCTTTTTCCTAGGTGGAGGACTTGGTATTTATCCCTATTGAATCTCATTCTATTGCTTTCAGCCCAGTGTTCAAGTTTGGATCACCCTGGAACTTCATTCTGTCTTCTAGGGTGTTTGCTGTTCCACCCAGTTTTGTACTGTGTGCAGATTTGATTATCTTTGCTTGTACTTCCTCATCTAAATCATTAATAAATTGTTGAAGAGCAGTGGACTTAAAATTGAACCCTGCAGCTCCCCACTAGTTAACCTCCATCCAATTGGAGAAGGTGCCATTGATGAGTACTTTTTGTGCCCGATTTAGCAGCAATGTTTGGCTCCACCTAACAATTTTTCTATCTAGTCCACTTAATTTGCTTATCAGAATGTTGTGGGTCACTATGTTGAAAGATTTGCTAAAGTCGAGGTAGTTTATATCCATAGTGTTCCTTCTGTCCATTTGAGAGGTTACCCAGTCAAAAAGTGAGATTAAATTAGTCTGACAGGATTTATTTTTGATAAATCCATGTTGGCTTTTATTAATCATTGCATTTTCTTTGAGGGACTTGCAGAATGATTTAAAAATAATTTTCTTCAGACTTTTCCAGGGGTTGATGTCAGACTAACTGGTCTGTGGTTCTCAAATTCATATTTTCCCCTTATTTTGAAGATAGGGGCAATATTGGCCCTTCTCTAGTTGTCTGACACTTCTCCTATTTTCCAGGATTTATCAAAGATAATAAGCACAAAAGGAGCAAATGCATGTTGAGATGGTGTTCTTTCATAATGACCTGGAAGTGTGGTGATACTTCTGCATGGCATAGTAACATAGTAACATAGTTCTGTATCCTGTATTACAGTTCTGCAGTGCCCATGGCCACAGATGGAATCCTAATATTCAGAAGTAACCTTCATTAGCCAAGGTCCTACTTCTCCTTGATACTGGCTCTTTAATCATTTCCTGATACTGACTAGGAAAGAGCAGAAGAAGGTATTGGGCCCCTAAGCAATTGTTTCCTATGTGCAATCTGAGTTATCCCACCACTTATTAATTTATTTTACTCCTTATTAGCACATTTCTGCTTTATCCAAGTGCACATGTGCTTTATTATAATAATGAGATGACACCATAGGAATTCCAAACTTCATCCATAGGAGAAGTGGCTAAGGGAATCATGTTCCTTTCTCTTTAAGTGGAGTTTGGGATTTCCTTCAGCAATAGGGAGACTTCAGCTATAGGGAATTCAGAAACTCACACCAGAATACACAGTGGAAGGTCAACCTTCTAACCACTGTCTTGCTGACTATTCCACCAGACAGATGTCTCTGATACTTTTCCAGTCATGCTATTCTGACTGGGGCTGTAGTTGCATTCAAAGCTAGAAAAATTGCCGCAAACAGTCTTTAAAAAATGGGAAGGCAGCACAAAAAATACTGGAATGTCACAATTTAGCAGTGGTATCCAGATCTTCTGTAACACATGAAGGGGAACAATTCCAGAGAAAGGGGCTACTTTGGAAGCAACGTTGTCTTCCAGAAGACCAACTCGGTTTAATCGTGCCTTCCTACTGGTCTCCATGTCTTTGTCAACTAGAATTTTGCTGCAGCTCCAGCCTATGTTTCGTGATGTCACAGCATGAAAGTTCTGGTGGTGATATAATGATTCTGATTCTAACTTTTAGAAATGAAAGTGTGTTCATGGAATGGGGCTTTCTGACTGCTCCCCCCAAAATCTGCTCTTGAGAATTGGAGGACCTTTGGAAATTTTATGGGATATATTGCAGAAAGCTGCAGATGGAAAGGGAAACTGAGCAGAAATCATCTACTTTATAGGAATTCAGAAGCAATTTAGGATTCAAGCTAATGGCTTTACAGCCCAGGCCAATGCATTTCTATTCGGAAATGAGTCCTAAGAAGAAAGTCCTATGAGTCCCAAGCAGAAAGTGAGTTCAGCTTTTTCTGAGATAAGTGCATAGGATTGCAGTCCAATTGGATTAACTGTTGTTGTAGTAGAGACCCTTGAGTGCTGCAGAGAGGTCTGCAACTCAAAAGCTTGCCTTTCCATATGAAAGCAGAAAGCTAGTTAAGTTAAAATGTACTCCTACTATTTCATATCATTGACAAGCTGGATGGTGTGCCTTTTAATTAACAGCATTCCTAATAAAGAGGTTTTTCTGGAAGCAATTTTTGTATTTAATGGTAATTTATTATGTACTATTGTATTTCAATGTATTTTATCATGTTGTAAGCTGCCCTGAGGTTTCGGCAAGGGGTGGCATAGAAATGTTATAATAATAATAATAATAATAATAATTTTTCCTTCTATGTACACAGAACAGATACATGTTCTCCAGGAAAACAATTAAAACTTAATAGATTGGCTATCAGGGTAATTAGCATAGCTGTAGCTGAATTGGAATAAGTTCACAAGATGCACATTTTACAGTTATTATAAATGTTTCTTCTGTCAGAGTTAGATCATGCTAGATAAAAAATTATATTTGGGTGTTCTGGGCTATCCCAACCATGCTGTTGTGGATGAGAAGTTTGTTAGAAAGATGGAACTTACATTCTTTATGTTTAGGACTTAGGTAGATTCTCAAATCAATTTGAATAATAATTGGGCAGGTTTACTTTACCATTATATATGAAGTTTTATACTAAATGTTTTATTCCTCAAAGCAGAGCTGTCAGAAAAATTAGAGAATTCTTCAGTATTCTTGTAAAACCTTTGTTGAAAAATGCAGTAGTGAGTTTGAAATTCTGAGAATAGGGCTTCCACTCTAGTTATTTATGGTGTAATTGTATGCATGGTTCGACAGGAAAGGCTCTACACTTCCCATGTTTATTTGGTTTCTAGATAGCAAACAAAAATAAGTATGTCATTACTAATTTTATATGGTCCTCCCACCTATTAGCCAATCATAGTTGAACTAAAGGATTTGATTTCTAGGAAGGAGATTCAGTAGTGTC